GAACTTGCGCCCACGGGGGGGGGGGGACGAAAGCTTAGAAACAGGCGCAGACTGGCGCATGCACTTTTTCATGAAGCAGCGGAGCACGACCGGCCTGCGCGGGCCCAAGAATGGCTTCCAACGTGCCTAAAAAGCTGCCGCCTAGCGTCCCAAACAGCCTCCACGGCCCCCAAACAGCACCCCGAAACAGCCCCTGCCATGCCTGTTTTCCCTTAGTACAGATCAGCAAAGCTGGACTCAGACGAAAGCTCAGAGAAGCTTTCGTAACATGCCTTCGTTTCTTGTCAGGCTATAGCGGTACGTGTATCCAGCGAAACTGTTCATAATTCCTAGATTCCTAGATGCCCGTCCTTACAGAGGCTAGCTTTGGCTACGGCGTTGCCTTCTCGTTAATTTGAGTTGTTCACCTCAATGGAGCTCAATGCACGGCATCCCAATCGAGGTTAGCGATGCGCTATCCTGATGGACGAGAGAATTGAACTTTCAAGTACCAACTCTTGCCCTTCACAACCTGGTATTGGCATTCTCTGGCCCGCGGCATGCCGCTGGGGGGAACCCAATGGAAACAAGCCAACATCGACCATCTGCGCAAGTCTCAGGTTGGTGCAAATCCTGCAGGCTTCTCCGGCTTCTGCTTCGTCTTGACCTGAGAGCAAGGGCAGTTTGAAGTCTTCAAAAACCTCTTGCCTGAGACCATTGCAGGTCGAGGAGGCGGAGCCTGCATCGACGGCCTTGGGTCATCTTGGGTGGCGCGGCAATGACCGCTGGCCTTTGGTGCTCTCTTGAACTCCGAGCTGCTCCTCCAAGGTTGCCCCCAGGACCTGAGAAAGTCTGCTTCTTTTTTCTACTGATTCTACTGCTCTGTTTTCTTCGTTTTCTTCGTTTTCGCTGCAGTCGAGCCACGCTCGGACACACCTCCGCCAGGCCCACGATGCCCCCATCCGCACGATCGACCCCTCGGCCCAGGTGCTATGAACCCGCTGCTCAGCCGCGAGTGTACGGTGCAAAACACAGCATGCTCCGCATGCGGCACTATGGCAACTGCGGGAGCTTCCCGATGCCGAAGCCTGCCGCTAAATGCATGGCGAACTTGCAATACACTCTGAATACTGCCATGGTGAGGGCGGAGTGAAGCCGTCCATGCCTGAGACTTCTTCTTTCCCTTGCTAGGCCTTGATCACCAAGCTGTTGACGTGGCAAACGGGCGCAGCCAGACTGCTTCTGCTCTGAAGCTTCTATTGACAAGATCCAAGCGACGATGTCACCGGTGAGAGCGCCTTGGGCTCCTGTCAGCAGGTCAAGACTAGCACAGAGCGGATTCGAGCAGAGCTCAATGGAGCGCTTTCAGAAAAAATCTCTCAATCCTATTCTTCTCTGAGTCATGACTTTCCACATTTTTCTATTCAATTCTTAGGGGACTTGCTTCGCTTTCAGCTTTGACTTGTCTCATGCTCTGCCTTCTCGGAGCCCGAGCAGGCCGAGCCGGCTGCGGTCGTGGCCTCCTTGGCCTCTGTGGCCTCCGGAAACACCTCCTTCAGCTCCTTTAAACAGGAAAGGCTTTCTGAATTTGTCTTTGAACACCACCACTGCACAGCCATAGCCTCTGTCTCTGGTGGCAGCATCCGATGTCTGGCCTCCGCTCTGACTGTGCGGCTTCCTCTCGACGCCTCAGCGTCCTGACCTCCAAAAGGAGTTGTCACCAACTGCAATTGAACACCGCGCAGGCAGATGGAAATCCATCCGCCCAGCCACTCAAGCACTTGGTTTCTCGCACACGCCTCTTCAAATTGCAAACACTCTCAGTCAGCGTTAGATGTTGAGAGTGGCGGTAATCCGAGGTCCGATTTGCACTAGCATTCCACTAGGGTAGGCTTGGCCTTGCCTGCTGATTCGTACACGCTTGAACTGCTAAGATTTCGAGACTGTGACGATTGCGGCCTGATAGCCTGAAGACTCAGACACGCAGCTGTTTATTATGCATTGACCTCCAAAACAGATAGGCAACTAGGGGAGGAATAGTGCATGCGCAGCAAGGTCGACAGTAACGTTTCAGGTCAGGCCATTTGTTTACACCTCGAAACACTGGAAGCGCATGCAAGTGCAGAGTCTGTCCTCAGCTGCGCCAGCAATCTACGAAAGCCCCCCAAAAGGTGCAGAAACAGCTCTACAGCTACAGAGCTACAGCGCTACAGAGTTCTGCAGCTGGAACTGGTCCTGTGCCTCGTGCAGCACCAAGGAGCAGCTGTTGCTGCATGCGCATCTGGACCGACCGCAGAATGCTCACAAACGGGGTCACCTGAGCGCTGCCTCTCTGCTTCTCTCTCTCTTTCTGTCTTTCAGGGCTATAGGGGCATCCTAGGATGTCCCCTGGGGCACAGCCCCAAGCCCCGCAGTCCGTCGGTAGTGGTTTTTATCCAGAAATCAGATGTGTCATCGATTCCGTCACACCAAGGCTCACTTCCAAGATGCCCTCGAAATCAAAATCGACTAAAAAACTAACCCAGCCTTGGAAGGATAGCAGCGATAGCATCGACTTCCACTCTTTCTTTCTTTGCGGGCTCTAGAGGGCACCACTGCCCTCCCTGGATACACCCCATGCCGAAGGGCATCCTCACGCGCTCCCCGGCAGAACCCAGGAGGATCCACATAAGGTATGCGCTCAGATGACGGTCGTCCCTTGGAATGCACTTCACTAGTAAGAGGAAGACTAATGCCACCACCGCAACCCAAGCACAGGCTTCTGTGCTACTCCCCTGACCGGTGAGACCGGCACTGGAGTCACACGCGTGGTCAGGAAAGGCCCTTCCCGATCAAATACACAGTGTCAGCAAGTGCAATGACCGCAGACCACATACCACTACGCTGCGCTACTGGCACCATTGCGACGCTATACAGCTCTTATGAGGTAGACTCCGCTTTCTCGCGGTCCTCTGGTACAGCATGACATCACCCTAGGGAACGGCTAGACGACTTCCACTTCTTTCTTTCTTTCTTTCGGTCGGGCCATGGGAGCAGGATTGCGCCTGCCCCCGGGCTTCGATGCCCAGCCCGTGTTGGGCTGTGTGGTTGTACACCCCTCTCGGTTTCACAGTGGGGGCGTTTCCTTTCTTCATACAATCAGGTAGCACTTAGGGGACCTTTCAAATGCTTTGAGGTCGCCTTCCCACTCTCTCTCTCTCTCTCTCTTTCTTTCGTTCGGGCTATGGAGGAGAGCCTAAGCTCCCCTCCGGGCATCACTGCCCAGCCCGTGTTGGGTTGTTAGGTCGGACTACACCCCTCAAGTTTCACGGCTGGGTTAGTTACTGGTTAGTGATGGATTGAGGCTGTAGGGTTGAGTTTAGCAGGAATTTGACGGGCCCCAATACCCAATCCACGAAACTGCTGCTTCCCATGCAGGTGGTATCCCTGCCTTGTGGGAATGCCGTGGGAAAGTAGACTGGTGGTTGAATTGTTGTTGCACCCGGCTACGTCTTCAAGCGCTGTGTCCCTGAATTTAACCACCAGACTGAGTGCATGGTGCAGACGTGTCCTCTTTTATTGTAGTAGACGTAACAACCTGGGGTCTAATAATGATACCGGTAACAAGTTAGGCTGGAGAGGTGTCTGGCGTGCGGCATACGTGTTGCC